TTTGGCGGTGTGCCGGTTATGTTTTGATGGTGTCCGGGTCATGTGACGGTGTCCCGGTCATGTTGTGATAGTGTCCTGGTCATGTTGCGATGGTGTCCCCGTCATGTCATGCTGGTGTCCCGGTCACCTTGTGATGGTGTCCCGGTTATGTTGTGATGGTGTCCCAATCATGTTGTGACGGTGTCTCGGTCATGTTTTGACGGTGCCCTGGTCATTTTGTGATGGTGTCCCGGTTATGTGATGATGGTGTCCAAGGAAGAGATGGTCGATGTGTTGAAAACAGCAGCTATTTCCAGATTTTTCTTTTGTCCCTGTTTGTATCTTGCTATTGGGGTCTCCAGCTGGGCTAATTTGATTGCCAAATTTTGCTGGCTGATGCTGTTGCTCCCTGTCGTCGTCCTTGTCCTCGTCGCTTCTATACAATATGTTGTTGACGAGGTGATACTGGTTGGGGCGCTGGGACACTGCAAAGACAGGTGGAAAACAGCGGAAGAGTGGGTGGTGCCCCGCAGCTGAAGTCAAAGCAGCTCATGATTTCGACAGAAACACTAATTATACTTCTTGATCCTGTTGGGTGGGGAACAATGAGCATGAGGCCCGCAAGGCAGCCTGGCGCTGGTAAGGTGTTTGCATTGTCGTCCATGGTACGGTGTGTCGTATGTTGTCTCTCAGCACACGTGAACACTGCGAAACAGGCAAACTAAATATCGTCCCGCCTTGGACCCAGAATGATGCTCCAACAGGCCCAAGAAATTGGCCAGGCACCATTCCAATATTGCAGAAAAGGTCGCCTCCAGTCAAAACACTCCTACCTATATACATCGCTAACTGAGCCCAAACCAGTGGAACCGTTCTGAAGCCTTTCTACACGTGATTCGGCGTCTCAAAGTACTCTCAATGCTCAGATCGATCATTAGCCAAAGGTTATCCAGAGACCTGAATACCGACAAGATGTCGCAACGCTTGCTGCTTCTTCAAGGGACCTCGCTATCAATAGTCATGGATTGCCATCGACGACGGTTGGAACGCTTTGGCCTCAACATGCTGCAAGGCAAAGGCTTCTTTGTCCCCTCTCTCTCTCTCTACAGTATCTAACTAATTATTTATATATCTGTGCAATTTTCACAAAACAACATATCCAGCCAAAAATGCCTCACGGCATCATCCTCAACATCACCCTTAACAGCATCTTCTCTTTCCTGCAAAATGTGACAGCGGTTGTGTGCTGTCCGCAAATTTCTGGACTAGAATTATGTTATGAATTGTGAATGTGAGAAACTCGCTGCCACAAAAATCAAGAATTGGCATCACTACCGCCTCAGAACTGATGGACCTCACCGCCAGGTGGTATGCATTGATAACAGCCTGCATGCAAACTTGGCAGGCAGCTCAACATTGAACATAACTAATTATATTGCTGCCAAGGTGAGTTGTACCGCACTTGTGGCAGGCTGTTTCTTTTGTCCACCAAGCAGTCGTGTGGAACACGACCATGCCAAAGGGTATGAAGCTGTGGTTAGATAGCAATAACAAAAGGTCTACTGGAAAGACTAGTTGTTAGCGAATAGAGAACAACGAGAAACAAAACAAGAGAGTCAAGGAGAGAGAGAGGGGAGAGGCAGAACGAAAAAACAAAGACACAAACCCACCTGCATGGAATTATGTCAGCTACCCAAGCAGCTCATCAAGTTGCAACCTTATGACTATATATGACTAGGAGTGTTTTTATAATGGCCAAAGCAGGCAGGTGGTTCCTGATGTGTGTGTGTATCAACTCCCGTTTCTAGGGCTTCTATTGCACTATCATAGTTCAGCAGGGTGTGCCAGGGATGCACACTGGACTGGCACCAACAAACACGCTAGTGTTGCATAAGGTCTAATCTGCAGTAAGCGTAAAGTGTTATGCTCACCGCGAACCACTGAAGCTTAACTCCACGGAGCACTCATCTCAAGTGTGTATCGCGGCTTCTTCCCACCGTGGTAAGCTGTGTGATCCCCACAGTACCGCCGATACTGAACCCTTATTTCTGCACAGGAGAGAAATTTCAACAAAGTCCTTTTTGGACCTCTTCTTGACGCAGACTTTTCTTGCTCGAAAACAATTTTCAAGAATATGTTCCACCTTGAATCCGGAATCTATGCTGCGGAGCTACTGCCTTGTAACAGTCTCACACGTGAATTTCACTTTTCAATTTTGATCAGGAATTCAACTTTGATCAGCGTCTCGCTTTCAACCTTTGTCTCGCTCTGACTTGTCAGGTGCAATTCACAGTATTTTACTCTGCAGTTCTTTATCCGACTAACATTGCCAGCGAGTTTCACCGCTCTGTGACCCATTTCGCCGTGTCACACCCGTGGGAGATGTGCTACACACTACACCTCAGCATCACCCCGGCAGTTGGCACCCATCCCACGACATTCCACGCCATCCAGTGCCACTGCATTACCCACCAGTTCCCACTTTTCCATATCCACTACAACCACCACCAATGCTCGTCGTGCCAGTTCATTCAGCGCCACCAACTCCACAACAGACGACAGTTTTTTCCTTACACACCCCGTCACCAACCTCCAACCACTCAGCTTCAACTTCACACAACCCTCCATCTGTGGACTCCTCGCCAGACGCGTCGCCAGCTAGTATCGCCACTTCTCAACCCACACAGCAGCAGCAACAGCAACCGCCCACACAACCAACTGCTCACCACCACCACCACCAACAACAACAACAACAAGTCCACACAACCTACGTCCCTCAACAAGTCCCCACGCAACCAGTCAACCAGTCAACCACCAATAAAAGGAAAGGATAACCCCACATGCTAAGCTTGTAAGAATAATCAACGAGAAGTAGAGACTGAAAAGAAAAGAGGACGGAACAACTGGACGATGAGTGGTGTGTGGTAAGTGGTGTTTGATAAGTGGTGTGAGATGGGTGGTGTTTGATGAGTGGTGTGTGATGAGTGGTGTGAGATGAGTGGGGTGAGATGAGTGGTGTGAGATGAGTGGTGTGAGATGAGTGGTGTGAGATGAGTGTTGCGTGATGCGTGGTGTGTGATGAGTGGTGTGAGATGAGTGGTGTGTGGCGAGTGGTGTGCGATGAGCCGTGTAAGATGAGTGGTGTGTGGTGAGAGTGGTGTGCGATGAGTTGTGTAAGATGAGTGGTGTGTGATGAGTGGTGTGTGGTGAGTGGTGTGTGATGAGTGGTGTGTGATTAGTTGTGTAAGATGAGTGGTGTAAGATGAGTTGTGTGAGATGAGTGGTGTGTGATGAGTGGTGTGAGATGAGTGGTGTGTGATGTGGTGTGTCATGAGTGGTGAGAGGGTGTGTGTGATGAGTGGCGTTGAGTTGTGTAAGATGAGTGGCGTGAGATGAGTTGTGAGAGGCGGTGTGCAGAACTCCTATAAACCCGCCCCTTCCCTCCTTACAGGATCGACCAACCGAAGAGTCCTATCCAATTAATGGCGGATGGACCCCAAGCGATGAAGAGCTCCTGAGTGACCTTAAGCTGAACAAAAAACTCCGACCGAGTTGGAGACTGAAGTCGACTGCAAAACACGAAATCAAGATCCTCTACGAACACTCCCCAACCCATCCTGCACCAGCCGAAGCATCAGAACAGGAACAAACCAGACCACAACCGGCCAAGCCCATAAAACGGGCTGAAAAGACATCAACAACTCGCGAAGCCGAGTCAACTCCATCCAACCCAGCGTCGGACACCAACCCAACCCACGTGAGACAAGCCTTTCTCACACGCTGACTCCAGCGCCTTTGAAAGCGCCGAAGACCAAAGAGTCGCTGTCCTCTTCTTTGACATAATTCAATCAGACCTGACAATAGATTCGGGTGCCACTAGCAGTGCTTTCCGGTGGCAAAAAACTGATTAGCCTCCGTTCCGTTCTCTGACCGTAGTTCACAGTTTTTTCTGTTAACTCAAACTTTCTTTAATTCAGGTTTACGTTGCTTCGATTCAGGATTTTTCGCCACTCAACCAGCTGCAGTAGCATTTCCTTTGGCATCCCATGAATCACACATGGTAACGCAATGCGCTGGCAATTGCAATGCGTACGACCATCTTTGCAAGAGCAAGTCCGCCAACTGGGTACCGCCTTGCAGAATCCCTCCACATCAGCAGACCATGCAAACCCTCCCGCGCACCGCAACCGCTCCAACACACCTCCTTACGCGCACCGACACCGACAGAACTCTCCCACCGCTCCGCAACACATCCACCTCGACGCCCACCAAATCAAGCGTCCAAATCCCATTCACCAGATCCAGAGACCGATCAGCTACTCCCCGCCGCCGCGACCGCTCTCCTACCAGATCTCGTTCCAAGACTTGACCCAGAACCAGATCACAGACCAAATCACGCCCCCTCACACCCAACCGCACTTTGACTGAAGATACTATCGATGAGCTCTTCCAACTCGCAACCAGCAATCCCACTCCTCATCCCACTCAACAACCACCGGCTCTTCCAACAGTCTCCACCCAATTACGCAGCTTCCCAATGCCATTGCCGCTCGCTTTCCTCCAAAGCGACGGCCGGTTGTGCCACCATCCCGCCCCCCACAACTGACAACAGCAGCGAAGCCCCATGAACTTTTAGCTTGCAATTCGATTCGGATGAAACAACATCCGACGGCTCGAGCGTCGCAACGTTTCACTCATCCTTGGAAAAAGATTGCCATTTACAGTGAGACGCTCCTGTTTGTTACCGATCTCTCTCACCTCTGTGATTCCCTTTCCAGTTTTGTGCGTGCAATTCTGCAGCCGTTCTTCTGCGCGATTTCCTTTTCAATTTTCACGTTCAACTTCTATTCTTTAACTTCGATTTAGTTCTATTTCTTGAAGCCTCGTACAGTTGATCAAGTCGATGCAGTCTTTTCGCGTTCAACTCAATTCACTTTTCTCTTTCCTCATACCGCAGCTGTGACATATCAAAGCACTCAGCATTTCGTGGACACAAAACACGCCTGCAGCGTGCCTTTACGGTCGCGTGACCACACATCAGACAGTCGTTCACGCATCCATTTATCACTGTCGCAAACAACTACACTCGGTCCAAGAGACGTTTTACCAAGACGACACATCTCCCCACCTGTCGCCCTTTTTTTGACCGAATTTTACGCATTCGCGCCCCTTGTGGATCACGCCGCCGAAGACCTGACAAGAGCACTGACACATCTCGACGCCATTGGACAGACGTCGCCTCGCACCATCAAGGGCAAGGGCAAAGACCGCCCACCGACGATCCAAACACATCCACCGAGACGACCCCCCAACATCATATATACCACCAACCCTGACACTCACCATCCCATCCAACAGCCAGCAACAGCACACCATTGTCTCACCCCCACTCCCCAGCAATCCCACCAACCGACATCTCAACTCACCTGCCCCGCAACTACAATCACATCTCAGCCACCATTCACCACACGACCCAAGGGTTTTGGACGTTCGGCGCCTCCGCCCTTGGCGCACGATCGTTACCACTGCGCGCGTGCAGCCAACGTCCAGTCAACCTCGCCGCACTCCTGCGACCCACAACAAGTCTACAGTCTCTGCGTACCCATTCGCGGACCAACAACACTCACCCCACCCGGACCTGCCAACTCTTCCTTCCTACACCACCATCCACCACCACCAGACCACCATGTGCCACACCAGCAATCAGACTGCAACTCGCCCACCACTATCCTGCCAAACCAATGGTCCCTGGTGGGACGCCACGGGCTCCGCCCCTTAGCGTTACTCAGCGCAATGTTTCAGAACGAGCTGCTGAACGGGCAAGCTTGACACTCGACTCTCGCAAAAGGAGTCCTAATCTTTGCACCAATTCATTCACAGCTTCAAAAGCTGTATATTGGAGTTTCACGTTTCATGTACTCTCTATCGAGTTTTTCCTCGTCAGCGCTGTGCGGCAGTCAGACTGCATTTAGCCCAGGTACCACTACCAACGTTGCCTTGATTTTGATTTTTGACCTCTACATTAATTATTCTGACCTTCCATTTTTCAGCTTCTTGAAGATTGACCTCAATGATTGCCCGTTCTCTCAATTACCCTTGCGCAAACGTATTACGCCAGAGCTACCGCAGCTCCAAGCGCTGACACGCGCAGTGCGCCCGACACCTCCTCACTCCCACAACCACCACTGCGCATTTTCCTCCGGAACCACTTCCCCCAACATTCCCACACACCCCACCACTTGGACAGCCAGCGATACACACCTTGACACCAACGCCGCCGATGGCCAAACCTTGTTCAAGACAATAGCAATAGAACAAACGTAGTCTTTCTGGACAGCCAACGCTTAGAACTTGAGCAGAGTTGGAGTTGCAGATCAGAGTACGCG